ATTTGCAAAAGTTGGCTTACAATGATACGAAAATTTGTTTTCTGTTTCATTTAACTGAATGTGTATGGGGTCAATCCAGTAACCAACCCCATATCAGCGAAGGAATGTTGACTATAATTTCAAATTTACTATGCATATCTACAGAAAATTTGACAAGGTTTTAGCACAGGGTGAAAGGCTATTATACACAAAAATATTTATACTTGGGGGTAATTTGCATGTGGAGAATAAAAATACTTTTTGTGTATTATATAGTTTGTCTATTGTATTTGCATAATCTCTAGAACCTCCAAAATGCATGTGTACATTCTTATTTCTAGTACTACCATATATTGTATTTGATATTTACTCTCCTCTACCACAAACTGTCACTAAATTAGCAATGCAGGGTAAAATGACTAGTTGACAACTCTGTCATCAAATATCTAATACCGTGTTGAATGGTGCTTTATAAAAGGTTGTGGCAAACACACTTGTATACCCATTCATGCACATATGATTAAACTAATCAGTATGAGAAAAAAGGTGCAAAATATATAAATTAAGGTGAATTATAGCAAATTTGAAAACAAAATATATCTTGTAAATGTCTTAATTTTATAATGCTGGTAAATTAAGTGTTTTATTCTACTACACATCTGACAAAGTATTGACGTGTTTGCTATTATAAGAAACTTTTTTTGAGTTATACATAAAGGAGTCTTGAGTTCTGTCTGTGAGATATTGCAACTGTAATTGAAATTTAGCATAACTAATAAAGTGGGATGAGTATGTAATGTAACGTAGATTTTTAAGATTCATAACGTAGGTAAATTAATATGTAGAATTATCCATGGACCTTTTTTATGTTAAAATACTTATATTTGTGTGTTTTTGGTTCTCTTACCAAAGCCATCATTGGGCACTAGTGTACTGAGCAAATCCATGTATAATCTTATATATATGTTGTGAACCGTGGTGTCTCTCCGAGCATTCGTCTGTCTTCAGTTTGAAAAGCTGTGCACACAGGTAAAGCTCAACATTCACTTTTGAAATGATGGGAGAACAGGCATGAATAATATTGATGCAAAATGTTATTTTGCAAGCAGGATATTCTACACTAAATTGTTAGGAATTAATCATGCTATCATTCAAATTCAAAATGTGATGTAATTTAAAGAATAAAAATGTAGATTTACCGTATGTTATTGTTGAGTGGCTCTTAGCATGACTGAAATGCTCAACAATTACTTTTTGCAGTGGGTGGTTATAAGTAAGTAAGAGCTTTGGGTCTGAGAAACTGAGAGTGCAACACAAATAAGCTTTTTAAAGTCCATGAAATAATTTAAGTTGATAGATTAACTTAAACTTTTCCCATCACTGAGGACAGGTACTTTTGCTTGTTCTACATAGTTTTTTTTTTCCCCTTAAACATTTTTATTGAAAAAATAAGAATAATTATGTTGTATCAAAAGTGTATCTCAAGCTAGACAAATCCATGGTAAATTTGTCAAGAATGCAGAGAAACTAAACTGACACAAAACTAATCCATAATAAACCTGTCAGAGAAACTCCCAAGTTAAAATATGAAATCAGGAAACAAACTTTGTTCACATCAGCAAATAATAGCAGGGTCATACAATGTTTGTGTTTTGACAAACCATATGTAATATTATTTTTAATTTCTAAATTTTTTCAAATTGTTACAGTTTTTTTACAAGTAGACTGACAAAAAATATATATTTCCAATTTTTAAACATTTTTATTGTAATGGAAAGTAGTAAGTTTATTATTCTGAAATATAAAATTTTGAATGTAAAAGTATAATTATCTTCATTTTACTACCTTTGTTGTTTCTTTGCTCGTGTTGACTGCTGAGACCTGTTACGTATGTATAGTCAATACAGAAGTTTACATCTTATTGTTGACCATGACTATAATTTGGTTTAAAAGTGTTTAAGCTATTTCATTGGATTGAGAGATAATTAAATTATAACAATTATATTGTAAAATATTGTTAAAGAGAAAATTTATATATTTCATAAGAATATGATAAGCGGGTGATCTGTTACAGTTGCTAATTTATTATGGAAAATAATACTCTAATAACTTTTCTCAGTTTCATGTCTAGGTACTACTCTGTATTCCAGAAATTCAGCAGAACTATTAATAATTCATTCCTCAGTAACTTAAAGAGAAAGGATATGGAAAAAATGTAATGTGTACTTGGTTTGCTGATAAATACATGCATAAATCATTAATTTTTTTTTATTTCACTGTAAGTGGTTTAGATTGATAGTAATTCTCATGAATGTAAAATGTTTCTTCAGGTGAATGGTGTTGATGTACAGAGAGCTTCCCACCAAGAAGCTGTTTTAGCACTACTTGCACCAATCTATCAAATGGTCCTTACCATTCAACATGACCCACTCCCCAAGGGCTGGCAGGTAAGCCATTCTTCACTTCAGAATTACAGAGTTGCATAATCATTGACACTATAATATCCTAAAACAACTCAATTGTATGTATGCACACCAGTTAGAAAAGTCTTGAATTTCACTGTGTATGGGAAAATTTTAATCACATTTTTTAATATTCATTAAAATGATGTATTTATTTACCAGTAACAGAATATTAATTAATTCAACATTTTTTAATGTAATAGATGTTAAGAGTGTTTGAATCACATTCCGCTATTCATTGTGATTAAAATTACTCTAGATGGTTTGAATTAATTAAAAAATATATATAATTATCATTGAATGGTTAGAAATACTGTTTTATAACTGTGTGGTGTTTAAAAAAGGTCTTTTTTAAGTTAATTTAGAATTTAGTGCTGATTGTTAGTCTATTTCATAGTATTAATTATCAATTTAGTAGTGAGATAATATTTTGAAATTTTCGTAAACAGAAATGTGTAATTATTTTTAACTGAAAGATATATAGTTTGTATTCATGCATTTTACAGTCTGTAGTTTCAATTTATGAAAATTCCTCCAAGTCAATGGAAAGTATTCCACTGAGAAAAAAAGAACATCATCTTCAGTGCTAGAATGCTAAACTGTTTGTGCATTGTTTTTTTTAGTTTTAATAATTTTTTAATACTCTAGTCAGCAATAAGAAGTATAAAAAGTAATAAAATTAGTAGTTTTACTTGTTTAAAGATTGCACAATACATTTGTGTAAGATATGCTATTAAGGGAAAATAACTACATTTTCTTAATTAGCAGGTACAAATTATAAGTATTTGATAATGCCACTGAAAATTTTCTTTTTGCATGCCACAAGCCTTGAGCTCCTATGTACCCCCAAGATCAACATGGTTCAACTGAATCTCACATGCAAATCATCATGTGACAACCCCCCCCCCCACCCACCACCACCAATAGGAGTGTGACACACTCTCCTGACGCATGTGACTGCCTCTATTCAATTCTACCAAACTATCACTTCTTGTTTGGCAGTGCTGTCATCACGACATTTTTTGTTTGTGCTCTCTTCCCATATTTTTTTTTTATATCATATGAAGGGGGAGATATTTTCTATTTTTTTCTACTTCACTTTACATATTTTAAGTGATAACTTACCTTTATTGCTCTTCATTTTTTTCTGCTTTTCACCCAAGCTTCTGTTTCCACTTCAAAACTGTTTTGATTTACTTCCAGAACAATTATCTAGGCTTCAGATGGCAGTACTCGACTAAGGAACTGTCAGCTTTAATACATTGGGAGATTGATCATAATATGAGTTGACCTTTGTCAGGCCTCGAGTTTGGTAGCCCGTACATTTGGGTCCACCAACTTTGGACAGATAAGCTGTTATACTGTTATAGCTTTTTGAATATTTTGATATTAATATTATTATTTGTAGTTATTTGGTTTCAATAACATACATTTAGTAAGACTTGTACCTACTTCATGTAAGGTTATGGTTTTTTAATTGACATTTAGTGATATCCTTTTGTACTACAACATTAGTTTAGGCTTACCTGTCATTCATCTTACTGGTAAATCGTAAATTAGGTTAAATATATTGTTTCTTCAACAGATACCATCGACTAAATTTTTTATTGTCCATATACACTTACTTAATTTTACAATATAAGGACTCCTTCATTTTCACAATTAATTATACTTTATACTTCTTACAATTATTTTCATTTTTGAGGATCCCTGGGTCCAGGATCTGCCCAACCTTCTCCCACTATTGCTCACCTTCCTCCTCAAACTGCCAAACTTAAATGGGACAATGTCTATTTTGAAAATTTTCCTCCACCTGATTATGAATTGGCCTTCCCAGGCCTTTACTACACGGTGTGCTAGGCCTATCTCAGCCCTTTTTATACATGTTTTGCAGTTGTTGTTGTTGTTTATCATCTTTTTCAAGACATTTTATATTTAGTTCATGCTGGGCCTTTTTGTCTCTATTTTGAGAGATGGTGCTGGCATGCCTCACCCTCCACTGGTTTTGGTTCATTTTGCCTTAGCTTATCATCAGGCAGATTGTTTTTTGTTTTCTTGCTTCTCTGCACTTCGAATATCTGTTGCCTGTATGGGGGGTAGAATCTGTTAATATTATCCCTTTCTTCCTAGCCAAGTTTTCCAGCCTTCATCTTCCCCTGTTGCCTACTGGTATTGGCCACCATACACCTCTTTTCTGAGGCATTCTATCTATTTCTTGGGGATTTTCGTGAGATACCTTCCTCCTTCTTACCTCCATGTTGGGATGATTGCCATCTTCGGCTCTTTCCCTACAAACATGGTTTCTTTGCTTTTGGGATCTTCTGGGATGGGACACTATCTTGTACCAAGTTTGTTTCCCTTCCACTTCTTATTGGGATGTACAGATGGCTCTTTTCCTCCACTGGTCCAATTTTTTTTGGGAGGTGTTACTCCTGTGACTTTAGTAGGGTATCTGTATTACTACATTTGATTTTTTCTTTTTGGTTGCTCATTTGCCTCTATCTGGCCATTGCATTCTTTATTCATGTTCCATGGCCGGCACATTCCTGTCATTTACCTGTCCTACATCTAAGCGTTCCTCCATTAGTCTTGTATTCTTGGTGCATAATGGAGCTCTGTGATTGATCTGCCCCCTTATTCACTTCTTGGTTCTTTCCCTTTTTTCTATATTGTCTTTTATCACACTATGGTGGGTTTTTTTCTCCAGGACTGAGGATGTCCATGGTCAACATTTTATATTCTTATGCATATGTTCCTATTTTTCATCCCTCGTGGCACTATCTTAAGTTTGTTTATCATGGAGTTGGGTACTAGTTTCTTGCCTAGCTCTTTGAGCTTGTTTCAGATCTGTATGTCTTTGTCTTTGGTTCCTCATCCACTTTCCTTAGCTATCAATGTGTTCAGACAGGATTGGGACCTATTTATACATTTATTTTCTCATACCATTTGTCATCTTCTGAGGGTGATTTTGTTCACCTTGCCACTCTGTGCCCGGCATGGCCAGGTGGTTAGGGTGCTCAACTTGCAACCTGTGGGTCACTGGTTTGAATCCCTGTCACACCAAACATGCTCGACCTTTCATACATGGGAGTATTATAATGTGATGGTCAATCCTTCTAGTCTTACACTGCTAAATAAAGAACAGCTAGTGCAGATAGTCCTTGTGTAGTTTTGTGCAAAATTCATAACAAACCAAACAAGCCATTCTGTGTCAGGTCTTTCTAATTGCTCCTTCCTGGTAAACACAGATCTAGTTTTCTCAGCTGCTTCAGCTCAATCTGTCCTTTTTGTTCTAGACTGATTTTCCCTACCCACCACTTTGGCAGCATGTGGGACATGTTCTTTGTTTTTATTTCCTTCTATCTCCCACCTTTAATCCCAATCTTTAATCCTGTACCTGCTCTGGGTTGATTCGTTGCCTTCAAGACTTCTTTTCATTGATTCCTTTTCCTGTTGTTTCGTTCCCTGACACCTCTGCTCTGTTTGTGTCTTCTTCCTTCCTTCCTTACCCTTTGGATTCGGCTTTTGATTTGATTGGCCTTTTCTTCCTTGTCTCCTTTTTCCCTTCATCAATTCCTGTTGTCTTCACTCAGATTAGGCACCTTCTCTTTTACCTGCATCTTACTCTTGTAGTATGTTGGAGGTACTTCTTTCGTCAAGCACTGGGACTACACCTCATATGTTTATCTCCTATTATATGCTTTGGGTAGCTGTTTCTTCCTTGTCAGGGAACTGTCATCCACCTGTCACCATCCTTCACTCTTCAGGTAAGACTGTGACTGGGTCAAATACCTTTTTTTATATATATACCACTTATTTTCAGGGGCATATCCCTTTTCGTCTTTATGGAGTAGTGCCTGTTCAGGTATACTAACTAGTAAAATGTGCATTGTAAGGCCATGATGACTTGAATAATTTTCATGGCCACTAAATGCACACTGTTGAGATGGGGTGTTCCACAAGATTGTTCGTATGTTTTCCTCTATATATATTTGCTTCATTCGAAATAGGGTTTTTGTGGTCTTCTATTGCATTGTCTCTGGTGTTGACATTCCTCCGGACTCTCCACCTCATTTTCTCCCCCCTTTTTCTTCCAGTGGAGTATAAGAGTCCTTACCACTTTCCAGTTCCAAGCATCCTGAACGTGATAATGATATACGATACAACTAATGATAAAACCATTCAGTTGAGAGTAGAGCAGTGGTGTTCTGCTAGTTTAGATGACAAGATGTCCTCCAATCTGATGCCCTGGGAGCAGTTCCTGTTGGATTGGTTTAGAGTGAGATAGCTTACATTACAGAGACATCTTTACTATACCAATCATCCAGGGAGCAGTTCCAGTTGGACTGGTTTAGAGTGAGATAGTTTACATTACAGAGACATCTTTACTATACCAATCATCTAGGCAGGTGTTGGGTTCCCGGATTGGTCAAACAAGTTATGCCATTGCTGTCATGTGTCCCGTTCATAGAGGGGAGGGGGTGTACGAGGTTCCCTCCAGTCTGCTGAACTTGAGGTGAAAAGGGTATAATCCTCTTTCCTACCCCCACCATATGGCTGAGTTTTGGATTGTAGTTGACTTGCTGCCGTAATGATCTTTTTTCCTACTCCCACATGGATGTTGGTTCCTGGAGGCTTGGTTTTGGATTGTAGTGGACTTGCTGCCGGTATGATCCTCTTTCCTACTCCCACATGGATGTTGGTTCCTGGTGGCTTGGTTTTGGATTTTAGTTGACTTACCAACAGTATGATCCTCATCCTACCCCCACATGGATGTCAGTTCTCAGCAGCTGGGTTTTGGATGCAGTTGACTTGCTGTGTATGGTCTGTCACACCCTAGCCAGTCTACACCTAGAGGCACATCCTTTTACTTTCATCCACATTGATTGTACTCTATGGGATTGAGTTTCCAATATTGTGTGGTTTGGATCACTGTTCAACCATTATTCTCTCTCTTTTGGATGTGCTCCTCCCAGAGTATACCT